CTTATAGTCTGAAGATTTAGGAGAGGTTGCTGATGATTCTCTCTCATATCACAGTAACTACCTAGTTGATAAATGTAATAGCTAATTTATTTCTATTTGGTCCCTATAGAGGTCCCTATAGAGAATGAAAGAGGAAGAGCTATTTTATGAGTAAATGATTTCATTTTGCATCTGTTTAGTTTAGAATATCTAGTAGATATGTAGCTGGAACTGCCCAATAGGTTGGTAAACATTTGAGGATTAAGACTGAGAGGATGTTTTGAATTGGATTTAGTGATTTGAGGATTATTCACTCATTCAACAACTTTTTATTAAGCAGCTATTATGTGTTAGGTACTATTGTAGGCATTAGGAATACAGCAAGGAACACAGTAGTCCAAAGTCCCTACCCTCGTGGAACTTAGATTCTAAGTGTTGGAGGTTGGGGTGGGGAACATCTAATTCATGAGAATTAATACACAAAAGATATGTTAGACAGTAAGAAGTACTAAGGAGAAAAATAAAGCAAGGGGTTATGAAGTATTTGAGGGGTATTTGACATTTTAGATAAGGGAGCCAGTGAAGACTACACTAAGAAGGTGGCTTTAAGTAAAGACCTGGAGACATTGAAGATGCTAAACATGTACGTGTATGGGAAAGAACATTTCAGGCAAAGGGAATAGCAGGTGGAAAGTTTCTTATATCAAGGATGCTAGTGTGGAGCAAAGTAAACAAGGGAAAGAGTATTGATCGTGAAGTTGGAGATCTAACTGGATGCATGTAGGACTTTTTAGGTCATTGTAAGGATTTAGTCTTTTATTCTGAATGAGATGGGTAATGAACAGAGGGTTTCAAGCAAGAGTAGTGATGTGATCTAACTTGTGTTTTTAAGGATCCCTCTGGTTGCCATGTAAAGAATAGACTTCAGGGAATTCAGGTTAAGCAAGAAGATGAGTTAGAAGGCCAAGAGAGATAGGATAGTGTTTGGACCAGGATGGTGGCAACAAAGATGATGACAAATTATTGAGTTCTGAATATATTTTGAACTTTTTTCACCTGAGCAATTGGAAGAATAGCGTTACCTTCAATAAAAAGGGGGAAAGACTGCAAGAAGAGTATGTTTACTAGGCAGGGTGAGGACGAGATTGTCAGGAACTCAGTTTTAGACATGTTAGTTTTGAGCTAAAGATATTAAGTAGGCAGGTGGATATATGGGTAAAGGATGCAGAGGAGCGGTCCAGTTAAAGATACGTATTTGGGAGTCATTATCATATAGTTGGCATTTAACTCATGGCATTGGATGAATTCACCTAAGGTATGAGGATAGATAGAAATGAGAAGTCCAAGGATGAACACTTAAGAAAAAGTAGAAGGTAAACCAGATAAGGGGCGTGTCCTGCAATCCAAGTTAAAAAAAAAAAAGTAAAAAAAAAGACTAAACAACAAACTGGGTAAATTCTGTTGATAAGTAAAATTAAAACATTGAAATTAACATTGGAATTAATATTGTGGAGGCGACTAGACCTTGGTAAGAAATCTTTCATTTGAATGATGAGGGCAAAAATCTGCTGAGATAAGGTTCAAGAGAATATATTCAGAGGAAGATTAGAAACAATAAGTAAAGATAATCTTTTCCGTTTTTCCTTATCATTAAAGAAAGATGCATGAATGGTAGCTGGAGAGGTAGATGGAGTCATGAGAAGTTTTCTGTTTGTTTAACGTAGGAGAAATAACAGCATGTTTATATGCTGAAAGGAATAATCCAGTAGAGCAAGAAAAGCTTATGATGCATGAGAATTACTAGAACAGTGTCCTTGAACAGGAATGTAACCTAGTGCACATGTAGAGGAATTGACCTAAGCTAGAATCACAGATAACTCATCCAGAATAGCAAGGGAGAAGTAGAGAATATAGGCACAGATAAAGGCAGGTACACAGATGTGACGTGGGAGTTTTTGGAAGATTGCTTCAGTTTTCTCATTTACTCAGCTGAAAGTAAAGGTGGGAGAGGAGATGTTGATATTGAAGGAAAAGTATGAAATAGTAGTCTTAGTAGAAGTATTAAAAAATTAACCAAGAAAATACAGCATGATTGCTGACACACTAAGGACCCACTTTAAATTAACAATCCATAATTAAAAATGAGACCTGACATCATGTTAGATGTTTTCTCTCTGGCTTCATTTATTCACACAATTGAGTTAATATAGTGTAGTAATAAAAATTTTGAGATGTAGTAATAAAAAATTTGAGATATAGTAAGGCCAACAGATCAGGATATTATCACCATTGAAAAAATAGTTTATTACTTATAGATCCCAGGAGGAGGGAGCCACATGGAGAAGCACTGGGATTGACCACCAGGCAGAAGGAGAAGGGGGCTCTATGGTCAAGTCTTTCTTGTGGTTTTGGTGGGAAAGAACAGCTGAAGCAGGGTAAGCAGGCTTAGGATTGACTAGTTTGAATAATTTCAGTGGGTTCTGAGGCATAGCGGGCAATCCCTAGTTGACTGGTACCTGGATGCAAGGTAATTAAGATGTACAGTGGCCCAGAGTGTGAGAGCCCAATAAGGAAGATGATTGGGGGTGTGGATTTGTTGGTTTGTATTGGAAAGTCACCCCCACCCCTGGGGAAGGCAGAGGGCAACAAAGGAGGCAGGAAGCCAAGGCAAGAGATGACTCAGGCATATCAGGTTGTCTGGAACAAGGTACATCAGTCCTATGCATACATGGTAGATGTTAGGGTATCAAGTTTACAGAAGCTAGAAAATGGTTAATACACATGTGCAGGCTCAAAATAAGGAGATAAGTGGAATTAATCAAGGTTTTGGTTTTGCCAGCAAGTACAGTGACTTTAGAGAAGGAAAAGGGGGTGAGAGTATAAGTAAGGAGTGATTATAATAATTAGCTATGGATTATATTAACCTTCAATTCAGGAGAAGAGAGATTTTATAGGAGGGGTGGATAAGGGAATTAAACATGGTAGAATCAAGCTGGAAAAATAGAAGGTGACAGTTGCCCTTGCTAACGACAAGGTCAAATGTATGACCATGGAAATAAGTTGCTGATACAGCAAGGAGGAAAAATAGAATGGGTGGGCTGTATTTTGTAAGGAGAGTAGAGCAAAGGTCAAGGAGAAAGAAAATAAGAGTTGAAGGTAATGATAAAAGAATGATTCAGTTGGTGAATTGTGAATTCTGGATTAAATAGAGAAAGAAGAGAAACCTAAAGGCACTGGTTAATTTGTAAAAATGAAAGGGTCAGGTAATTCGAGGTCCCCAGCAAGTTGAAGAATAGGAGACAGTCATGTCACAGAAACCAATTCGAGGAGTGAATTTTAAGAAGGGAGAATAGTCAACTGTCAGATGCTACAAAAATAAGTACTGGAAAGGGTCCTTTGGATTTGACAATTTGAAGGACTAGAACTAGGTGTTTCTAATGAAAGTAGTCTTTGCAGTAGGAGAGGAGAAGGTGGAAAAAGATTGTAGTGAATTATGGAGCATAAGAGGAGTAAGGATATAGACAGTATTATTGACTAATCTTTTAAGAAGTTGGACTGTGAAAGGAAGGAGAGATAATAATAGAAGAAGACGTAGTTAAAGGAGGGATTTTTAAGTTGGAGAGATGACTGGAGCACAATTATATGCTCCAAGGAAAAAGATTATGAAACCAGAAGTAGAAGACAGAATTATTGATGGGGAAGGGTCCTTGAGAAAGTTAACAGGTTTCAGAGCACAGATAGAAAGATTAGCCTTAGTAGATAAGAATAGCAACTCTTGAACTGAAAGAGGAAGAAAGAAATAAGGATGGATTTAGATGAGTTTGTAGAATATGGAAGAATATAATGAAGGTGGAGAAGTAATTTAAGGAACTTTTACCTCATCAGTCAGTTTTGTTCTCTTAGAAATGTTGGAGGTAAAGTCATTTAGAGACCAAAGGAGGGAGGATAGGATATGATACTTAAAAAGAATGTAAATTTGAAATAGTATGAGTGGAATTCACTTAGTCATTTATTTAAAAATTACTAACAGTGCCCACAATGTACTGGGCTCTGTTCTGGGTTCTAACAATGTAGCAATGAACAAGACAAAGTTCTTGCCCTAAAGATGCTTACACTCCAGTAGAGGAGTGGACAACAAAGTGGCAAGTAGTAATAAATGCTGTGAAGAAAAATAAAGGTGAAAAGTAGATTGTTATCATTTTAAAATATTTTATTCTTGCTTGATCTTTTATAATTTAGAAAGTAAAAGTATTGTTTTAAAGTGTTTTCTTTGGAAACACACTGCCTTTTTAATAATCTAAGGAACAATCATCTTGTTTTATAGAAGACTACAGTACAATCAGAGTACCAGAATGAAAGACTGGTAAGGGAGGTTTTTGTCTTAAGGAATTTACAGAGTCGATCCAAAAGTGAAATAGTATTTTCTTCTCCTGGGTACCAATATTTTGATTATAACTTATCTTCTTTTTAAGCATTATTATGTAATTGTTCAAGCAGGGAGATGATATTCTTTCCTAGGTGTTATTACTCATGCTTCAGTCTGCCTACGTAACTGCTCTCTGTACTCATTTGGGCTTACTATGTGTCAGGTACTTCCTAACCATAATACAGAAATTAATTTATTTAATCCTCCTAATAACCTGTGTGTTAGGTATTATTATTATCCCCATCTTATAAATCAGGAAACTTGAGACCCAGAGAAATCAGTGTAGACTTTGGATCTTACTGCCTAGGTTCAAATTTTAACTAGTAGAAATGTTTCTCTCTAAGCCTCTGTGATTTTATATAAAATAATGTTAATACCAACCTATTAAAATTATTATTGTGAGGAAAAAGTGACACAATGCATGTAAACATTCTAGAACTATGCTTACACATAATGAGCTCTCAAGTAGCTACTATTATTTCTTGTTTATATTTAGATTGCTTCCATGTTGCTAAATGAAAGTCTTTTAAAAATTGTTGGCTAATTTTTCTTCAGTCCTGAATCCTCTGTGTTATGTTTTCTTTTCCTGATATAGAAACATTGGCTCACAGCCAGGAAAGTCTATTAGCTTTACTGGCCTAGCAAAGGGAGCTCAAATGAAAGGAGGATATATTGGTGCAAACCAAAGCAGAATGGCTATGTCAAAAACCATGCTGATTGTATCTGATGTAAAAACAACAGAAAAAATGACTATTTCCACTACAAAGACAGCCATACAGGTAATATGCTTTAGAATTCTGAGTTTGTTTGAAAATGACACCATGAAGAACTTGATTGACATGTTAAAGGTAGAAAACATGCTGCTTTGAAACAGTAATTTCTAGTACAGGCATACTTCAGAGATACTGAAGGTTCCATTGTAGACCACTGCAATAAAGCAAATGTCACAATAAAGTGAGTCACATGAATATTTTTTGGGTTCCCAGTGCATATAAAGTTACATTTATGCTATACTGTAGTCTCTTAAGTATACAATAGCATTATGTCTAAAAAAAAAGTACATAATTTTAAAAAAACTTTGCTACTGAAAAATGCAAACCATCATTTGAGCCTTCAGAGAATCATAGAAACATCAAAAATCACTGATCACAGAGTACAATAACAAATAAAATAATAAAATAATAATGGAAAAAACTGAAAAATTGTGAGAATTACCAAAATGTGACAAAGAGAGACAAAGTGAGCAAATACTGTTGGAAAAATGGTGCCAATAGATTTGCTGAACACAGGGTTGTCACAAGCCTTCAATTTGTAAAAAAAAAAAAAAAAAAAAGCAGTATCTGTGAAGTGCAATAAAGTGAGGTCTGCCTGTATTGATGCATTGATTTTGTTGGAGACTTTATTTACCATATAGCATATCTTGTGGCATAATATTGGCAGTTGGATCCTGTAATTCATTACTGATAATAAGAACATTAGAGTAGAATGAAGAAAGTCTACTCATGACCTTAAAAACTAGTTGGTTATGATATTAGTTATAGATAATCCAGCTGTAATATAGATGGTACATCTATCATTCACTCTTCTTTGCAATATTCTCTGGAAAAAAAATCATGAAATGAATGATCATAAAATTGGTTGTTTTATCTTATTAGAAAACTTGTAATTAAGGATTGACTTTTTTAAACTTTTAATCAAGGTCCAACTGTATACAGAAAAATATATAATCTATAAATCTGAATGGGCTAGGCAATGGTTTTTTAGGTATGACACCAAAAATATAATCTATTAAAGATAAAATTGGTAAATTGGACTTCATGTAAATGAAAACTTCTGGTTTTTGAAAGTCACTGCAAACAGACTGAAAAGAAAAGCCACACACTGGGAAAAATTATTTACAAAGCATGTCTCATAAAATACTTGTATCCAAAATATATAAACAACCCTCAAAACAATATTAAGACAATCTAATTTTTTAAATGAGCAAAACATTTGAACAAATACTTCACCAAAGTACATATACCAATGGCAGATGAGCACATCTAAAGATGATCAGCATTAGTCATTAGGGACTTGCAAAATAAAACCATGAGATAATACTACACACCTATTAGAGTGGCTAAAATAAAAAGACTGATTATTGTGGAAGAACTAAAACTCTCATACACTTCTGGTAAGAATGGAAAGTGAAAAACAATTTGGCAGTTTATTAAATGTTAAATATATACCTACTATATCACTCAGCCATTCAACTTCTAGGTAGTTACCCAAGAGACAAACCAGTACTATAAAGTGCTAGTTACACAAAGACAAGTACATGAATATTCATAGCAGCTTTATTTATAATAGCCAAAAATGGAAACAACACTAATACAATTTTGATAAATGAATACTACACATTTGCATATATATTACGTATACTATTAGCTCAGACTGCTATAGTAAAGTACCATAGACTGAGTTGCTTATAAACAAATTTATTTCTCACAGTTATAGAGGCTGGAAGTCAAAGATTAGGGTGCAAACAGTCAGGTACTGGTGAGGACCCTATTCCAGGTTGTAAAGTACCAACTTCTCATTGTATCCTCATAGAAGGGAACAGGGTTTAGCTAGCTCCCTAGACTTTTCTTGTAAGCGAACTAATTGCATTTATGAGGGTTCTACCTTCATAATCTAATACCATCACACTGGAATTAAGATTCCAGCATATGAATTTGGGGAGTTACACAAACATTCAGTCCATAACAATTATATACATATTATATATATTGTATGTGTTATGCATATATTATACATATATGTTACATACATGGTATACACAGTATTAGCTACACTGTGTAAAAAGGATAACACATCATGACCGTGGGGATAATACATGCATGGTTGTTCCAGTATTCAAAAGTCAGTTCTACTTGCCA